AGCAGTGCTGGGGAACCTCAGGCAGGGTTGAGCAGCTGATGGTCTGTGGGATGGAAGCCATCCCCAGGGCATCCTTCCCTGTGTCCACCTGCTCCATCCCCATATGGATGGGACACCACCCCATCCCTGGGAGATGTGTCCGGAGCTGGAGCTGACCAGATCATGCCATGCCCTGTGCCCTGCCACTGCTCAGCTCCATGTCGCCAGGACACCAGCCCAAGTCTTGCCTGGAGCAGAACAGCTCTGCATCCCCGGCATCACACCCGACACACGCCTGGCAGGATGTGTCCAGATGCATTTCAGCCATTCCATAACATCTCCATCCTCTGCCGATCCAGGTTCTCGTAGAAGCGCCACTGCTCATCTCTAAATAGGTGACAGCCCTGGGCTGGTGCTGCTGGATGCAGGCAGGAGGGTCTGGGGGACCCCTGCCACCCTCCCAGGGTGACCGGGGGTGTCCCAGCGTGTGCGAGCACCACTGTGGGTCTGGGGGCAGCGCTGGGGGCTCAGCCCTGTGTGTGCCCATCCCTGGGACACTGGGGCTGTGTCACCACCAGCGTGGCCCAGGGAATGCCCCCGGGGTGTGTGTGTGTGTGTGTGTGCTGTGGGATTACTGAGCACTCCCATTAGCTATTTATTTAACCTTGTTTTGGAGGCGGGTGAATTCCCTCTGCAGTCAAGCGAAGCTTTATTGCCGCCAACCCATAAATCAGGAAGTTTCGCTCCTCTCCGATGCCAGAGGATTGAAATTAGCAGCAATCCCACTCCTGCCTGACCCTGCACAGGATGCCCTTCCCACCCCACAGGGGCATCAGGGCCGGCAGAAGCCTCCTGCACCCCAGGCAAGGTACTGGGAGAGCCCTCCCAAAATCCAGAGGCTTAGGCTGGAGGATGAGGTGGGGAAGAGCCCCTCACTGCAGCATTCTAGAGGGCTGGAGAAGCCACAGCCACTTGTAGGGCACAGGATGGGCATGGGGCAGCCCCGAGTGCTCCCCCTGCCCTGCACCAGCACTGCCCCCAGGCACAGCCATTGTATTCCAAGTGATTCAGGGGGTCCCCATCTGTGTTTTCAGATCTGAAGTGAGAGCAGGGGAGATTCCCCCCAGTGTGAAGAGCATCACTGAGGCTCCCAGGGTGGAGGAGACTGGGTCTCACGTTTGGAGGTAGCACCAGCCCCCCCAGAGAAGGTGAGGGTTCCTGTGCCAGCAGAGCCCTTGGCAGGCAGCCAGAGAGCACAGCCCATTTGGCACCTGGATTGCCAAATGCAGCTTCCCAGTGTGTCCAGTTTTCCTCCTCACTGAAGAGGGAGATGGTGTTCCAGCAAAATCACCCGCTGTCAGGGAGCTGGAGCAGCTAAGGGGGAGTTTGGTGACACGCCCTGAAGGTGCCTGCACCAAAGAAGAGCCAAAGCCACAACAGGCTGGAGCACCCTGTCCCCAGGGTGTCAGGGTGTGCTTGGTGTCTCTGCAGAGCCACCAAGGGAGATGGGAGAGGCAGGACCCTCATGGAGAGCATCCAGGCTCTCCAAAATCCCCCTGTGCCTGGGGGAGAGGGAAGGGGAAGGATTCGAGAGGCGTCGTTTCCCGCTGGATTTGGCAGTGCTGGGTTAATGGTTGGACTCGATGTTCTCAGAGGGCTTTTCCAACCTAAACAATTCCATGATTTCCCACTGTGAGGACGTGGCTCCCAGTCCATCCTGCAGCAGGGACTCTGCCTGACATCGGCACAGCCACACACCACAGACAGTGCACCCTGCACACCTCATACCCCATCCCTGTGCTCAGGGGACACTCTTGGCAGCTTTGTGGCACTCCAGGGACAAGGACAGCCAGGGGCACACAGCACAGCCAGCAGCAAATGGGCCACGGCAGGGGCAGGGAGTGGTGCCACAGGGAGTGGTGCCACACCCACTGCCCGGGGCTGTCCCCCCACTGCCCCCAGAGGGATCGGGAGGTGGCTGCGTGTCCAGCCCAGCAGCCCTCGGCAAGCTCCCATTTCCCACTGTGTTAGCCTTGTTGCTGGAGTGGGAACGTGCTGACAGCACAGGGCAAACTTACCCCGTGTAACTGGGTCTTTCCCAGCTCGCTGTGGAGCCCGGGGCTGATCACTGACTCCATGGGATGAGAGCAGGAAGGGACCATGGCACGGCAAGCCATGAGTTGCAGCAGGGATGTTTGTCTGTGGATTCAGGCACATGACACCAAGGATAGAAGAAACCCCTGGCTTGCACTGGGGCATCCTTTTCCCCCCGTGCCAGGAAGCTGAGCAGCAAAGAGGCCAGGAGCAGGGCCGCTTGGCTAGGCGGGATGCAGCCTGGCTTATCCCATGGGATTGGCACAGGGGGGCTGAGCTCAGAGCTCCGAGTCGCTGGGCAGAGAGGAGCCGGCTGCGGGGAGCGGGGCTGCGAGCGCGGCGCACTTCAAAGGGCAGGGAGGTGTAAATATTTCACCAGAGCCCGTGCAGAGCCACGAGGCTGCAGCGATCAGAGCCGGGCACGTCCGCCCGGAGCAGGCAGGGGAGGGGGATCAAAGCGCCCGGCGGGAGCCCGGCCTGGAGATCACCCGGCCAGCACAGCTCAGCCCCTCTGGCCAGGGGCTGGCACTGCCCGCCCGCAGCCGGGGACACCGAGGAGCTGCAGCCTGTGTCCCCAGCCCCTGCTGCCCAGCCGAGCACCCGCAGGTGCGCACGGAGCTGCCTGCTTGAAGCTGTCCCTTTGCTGTATCCTGCTCCTCTCTATCCGTTTTCCTCCTGGCCAGGAAAAAGGCTCCCTTCCAGCTCCCCCCCCCCTCCCCTTTGCACCCACGCAGACATCGTCACATCCCAGAGGGGTGGCAGGTCCCATGGGCACGGACAGAGCCCAGCGGGGTGCTGTGGGGCACAGGTGGGCACGGGACACTGCAGAGCCGAGAGCTGCTGTGCCGAGAGAGGCAGCGCTGCCACCTGCACTGCTGCTCGTGCCCCCAAATTAAATGGAATAATTCATTTGTTTTGGCTTCAAAGAGGCACTTGCTGGAAGCCCTGTGAAGTGCATCCGTGCCCTGATGCCATGCTGTTTCCTGGCACAGACAGGACTGGCACCAGGAGATGGTCTCTTTGCCTCGTGATCCTAAGGACCATTCTCAGGAGGGCACTGGGGCTTGGTGGGGATGTGGGGCTGCCCCCCTCACACCCCCCTCCCCAGGCCAGCCCAGGGCAGAGGGGCAGAGGGAAGCACCCTGCGTGCCAGCAGCTTGCTGTGCCCATCCTCACAACCACGCTGGGCTGGGAGGTGGCACCAGCCCTCCAGCACTTCCATTCCGGTATTCCCATTAACAGGAGAAGAGCCAGGGAGGTCCCAGCAGTGCTCTGAGCTGTGCTGAGCCCCACTGGCACTGCTGCAGGATCCCACCAGCACTGGCACAACTGGGCTGTGGCCACATTTCTGGTGACACGTGCCCAATGCCCGAGCTGTCCCTGACAGCGGGGACCCAGTGCCAAGGGGGCTGCTGAGAGCCCCTGGTGCCACCACACTCACCCCATCCCACTGCTCCTGTGGTGCCTACATGGCCTGTGGGGTCTCAATGGGTAAAGAAGGTGGGTGATACGGGAGTTGGGTGGGCAGAGTGTGCTGGGGGCAGTGGCAGGGTGGCACAGGCTGCATGTGTGTGCAGCAGGCAGTGCACACATGGGGTCCAACCAGCAGCAGATCCCCGTGGGCAGAGAGGGCTCTGCTGGGGACCCTCCTTTTGGGACCCCCTCGCTCCCGGGGGTGGGTTGCAGCAGCCCCTGGTAGCCAACTGCAACCCCCAAAACTACAGCCCTCCTGGATCTGGGCTCACTTAAAAACTCTCCTTTGAAACTCGATGCAGCTCCAGGGATGCTGCCGAGAGGGTGGGAGCAGAGCTTGACTCCCCACTGAGGCCCACAGCCCCTCTTGGGGCACCCACACCAGTGGGGGGGGGGGTCCTGCACCACAGGGACCACAAGCAAACTGGGTGAGGGAAAACACTCTTCCACATGCCACAGTCCCAGGGCAGCATCTTCCCCCAGCCAGACCCCCTGGAACTGAGAGGAGCGCCTTCCCAAGGCGATGGGTGCACACGAGGGGGGTCCCCCAGCACCCTGCCCTGCAGCACATGGAGGGGATGCTGCCTCTGGAGAATTATCCCTCCAGCCGGGACCGGGAGCCGGAGGCAGGTTTCTCCTCACACGCCGTGCCGAGCGATGGGGTCCCGCACCCTTCCCCCTCACCCCAACAGGTTTCGCTCGCCGGCACAGCTGCCGCGTCCAGATGTTGCCGGAATTGAGGAAGGCAGGCTGCTCAGCCCACAGCTGCTCCCTGCTTCGCTTGCAATTGCTTTGGAAATATTGTGTGTGCTCAGCTCTTTAGAGCTAATCTCCATCCTGCAGCCGGGGCTGGGGAGCTGCCCACGCCAGCGCGGCTGCCGGGGGAGCTGGGGGAGCTGGGGAAGGGGAGGGGGGTCCCGCCGGCAGCCCCCGCGTGGGGCAGAGCCGGGGCAGGCGCGGTGCCGTGGTGGGGGGTGGGCCGGGTACCAGCCCGGCGATTCCTCCCTGCTTGATTGGGGCCATTAATCCCGCGCTCGCCGCCACCCTGACAGAGTCTGTAAGTGTCAGCGTGTGAGCGATCCGCTCGCTCGGCACCATCCATCAGGCCCCTGGCAAACGCCGTGCGACACCCCCTCCCTGATTTATCTGAGGCCAATGGAGTCATGAAAAACAGCTGGTAAATCCTTCCCCATCAGCCGGCTGATTATTAATGCGGCCAAGTGTGGAGGCAGCCAGCGATTCGGAGACACGGTGCTGCTGAAAGGCAGCATATGGCCCGGTCCGCTGCCCCCGGGGCCAGTCCCTCCCAGAGGATGCTGCCCGATCCCTGCCGCCGTGGGAGCAGAGCCCTGCCTGCCCCTGTGCAGTGGCTGCAGGGGGGACCCGGGTCCTGCCTGACCCTGCAGCTCCCAGCTCGGGCGTGCAGGGCACCTTCTGCCCCGGGATGCTCAGACTGGGGGGCTCAGAACCCATTAGATGTCCATTCTGGGGACTCAGCACCCCTGGGATGCCCAAGCTGCGTGGACTTAGAACGTCCAGGGATGCCCAGGCTGGGGGGCTTAGAATTCCCAGGGTGCCCAGGCTGGGGGGCTCAGAATTCCCAGGATGCCCAGGCTGGGGGGCTCAGGACTCCCAGGAAGAACAGGTCACGCTGCTCCTGCTGCCCCATGCATGGGGACAGCCAAAACACAGGGACCTTAGGACACCAGGACTTTTCCAGAGACTTTCCTAGTCCAGAGGCCAGGCTCTCACACTGTGGCTCTGATGCAAGGGCAGGAGGTTGCCCAAAGGAAGGGGGGAGAAGCCAGCACCAGCACTGTGGGCAGTCGCAGAGCAGGGCCAGGTGCTGAGCAAAGGTGCAGAGCCCCAGACCTGCCCTGGTGACTCTGGGGACATGCACAGCCCCTGTGCACAGGTTCAGGATGCCCCAGTCCGTGCCAGCCCCTGCAGCCCTCCCATGGAGGCAGCACAGTCTGGGGGCACCATGGCACCCCAAGGTGCAGCACCCTCACACCACTGCCTGCACCCCTCACGGGACACATCCCCCTGCACACCCCACCCTGCCCTCCCAGCCCTGAAGAGAGGCATCTCCTGGGGTCAGACAAACCACTCACCAGCTGTCCCAGCCCCAGTCCCCCTGTCACACCCCACACCAGTGCCTGACACGCTCCTCGTGCCCTGCCAGGCTGCCGTGCCCTCTGCATTGACGTAACGGCTCGGGGAAAAAAATAATCTAAATTGTGTGAGTGGGCTGGAAGGAAGCTCGAAGCAGCATTTTTGTGGTTGTGTGCCGAGCAGGTGCAGCTGACAATTAGCTATCTCTTCCCAGCCTCTTCATTTAGTTCCTCAAGGTTATTTTGAAAATTGAATATTCAATTAATGAAAGAGTGGCTTTGCAGGGCTCTCGGTGCTCCCTTCCCTGGGGTGGAAGCGCCCTTAGGGACAGCTCAGGAGGGGAGGGAAGGGGGAAGAAGCTCATCCTCCTCCTCCTCCTCCTCCTCCTGGCTTCCACCCTTAGCCCCCCTCCACAGCCACGCTGGGAGCTCTCTGAGCCCCAGATTTGCACGGGGAAGATGAAGTGGCACAAGTTGCCGTGGTGGAAAGTAGGTGACGTAGAGTCACGTTCGAACCTGTCACAGAAGACGTCATGCTCCCTTCACCGCTGTCCTCCCCTTCCAAACCCAGCCTGGCCCCCCACCAGCAACACCCCAGCCCACCCAGCTCCCCTGGAGCCGTGGGGCTGCGTGGGAGGGAAGGGGGGGCAGCTCCTCCCCTCCCTCCAGCTCATCCTCTCTCCCACCCTCCCCTGTCGGCTTTATTTTCTCTTCTGCCACTTAAATACCACGCGAGGATGAGCCCGGATTGCTGGGAAACGCTGCTGCCGCTCTGCCGGGTCCTTGCCGTGCCCAGAGCACTCCCCTGCACCAGCAAACACCTTCCTGGCCAAAATCTTCACGTGGGGTCACCAGCAGCACCCTCATCACACACAGATGGAGCAGAAGGTCCCTTTCCTGCAGGTCTCCTCCTCCCTGGGGCTGCTCCTCCTGCACCTGCTGCAGGATCAGGGCATACTCCACTCCAAGAAAAAGCCTGGAATGAGACCCTGTGCCCCACTGGGCTCTGCAGCTCAGAGCCACCAAAGATCCTGAACCCTTGCTCTGTGCTGTGGACATGTCACCACCATGTCACTGTGCTGGGCTTGGCTGGGGACAGGCATCCCTGGCTGAGGGCAGCTCAAAGGTTGTCCTCCCACTATAGGGTCTGTGTCCTGATCCCACATCATTCCCAGCTTCCTTTATTTTAAATAAAGAGCCAGGCACTGTTAGTGAGTCACCAGCACTGTGCTGGGAGGGGCAGTCCCCACTTTTGGTCCTCTGCATTCCTGGGCTCAGAAGATCACCTCAAAAGCCCCGTTGGAGAGGGGACAGCGAGCTGTCCCTCAGCCCAGGGTGGGCCAGGGGGAAATCAAGTCACGGAGAGGAGCTGCAGCGGGAACAGGCAGCATTCCCACTGGGAAGTGGCCACAGCAGATTGCCAAGGTGGCCAGAGCAGGTGGCAGCAGCATGGGGACACCTCTGCACATGATGGACGAGCCCTGGCTCAGACCTCTGCTTCCTCAGCTCTTCGTGGAGAAGGGACGATGGGAGAGGGCTGAGAGATTCCCAAGGGAATGTCAGTCGGTGTGTGCCGGCAGGGCCTTGGAGCTGCTGCGTGGGCCCTTTGTGAGGAGGGACGTGCTCAGCAAGGGCAGCAGCCCCAGGCCCTCCTTGCTGACCTGAAGGTGCCCTCCAGCCAAGTCCCCGTGGGTGTGTGACACCTGGGGACAACGGAGGGTCCGTGCTGAGAGCTGTATCCTGCAGTGGGGTGATGCACAGCCCCCACCCCTCCACTCTTCCCAGCTCACTGGGGAAGGAAGATTGCATTTGGGACACTGCTGCCAGCTCTGTTCTTTGCCTGTTCCTTTTTCCACCCCAAATCATCCAGGGTCATTGATCCAGGAAATGATATTTTTGCTTACCAGGGGGTGTATTGCCTGGATTAAGGATGACCTGGGCCACGGGGATGCTACAGGCTGTGCTGGGTCAACCTCCCAGCTCAGGGTTCATCCTGGAGCTCCTCTCCCCGCCTCATTTCCCTTTCCCAAAGCCTCGCTTACATCTTCCTTATTATCCTCCTCCCTGCTCTATCTGGGTCACCCTCCCCTGCCATTACCCCAGATAATTGTGAGCTGAGTGCAGGCCACGGGCAGCAATCTGGCAGGCAGCACCTGGGAAACCGCTGCCCCCACGGACACCTCCCTGCCTTCCTCACCCCCTCCTCCTCCTCAGCTCCCGCAACCCAACCTGGTTCCTCGGCACTTGGGAAAGGCAGGAAGCTGGCAGGGCTGCGGGCAGGGGAAGCCTGAATCACCCAGCAAAATCCCCCCAAACGGGGATGGGGTCAGCACTCCCATGCAGTGAGGGGGGTTTGCTGAGGAAAACCCCAGGAAGACGCTCTGGGGAACAGCAAAGCTCCTGTTTCCAGAGGAGGAATAGCTGTGCCCAAAGGCAGGAGGGATCCCTGTGCAGGTCTCCTGGGGTCCTGCTCACACAGGCACAAACAGATTCCAGCCTCACCCAGAAAAAAAAAAAAAATTAAATGGCACCATCTGGCACTTGGTGAGTTCTTCCCCCTCCCACCGGTGGGGAGAGGGTAATCCAGGACGGGATCCAGGCCGTGCTGCTGGAATGGGCCACCAGCCCTGTGTGCAGCATGGCTGGGCATCCCCCTGCCTGGGGAGGGGAGGGGGAGACCCCCACTCTGGCCAAGCCTCCCCTGGGGTCCAGGGGAGGTCCCAGCCCATCCCGAGTGGCAGAGCTGGACATGGCTCCTCCCCACAGGGACAAGGCTAAGCTTTTTTTATACATAATTATATCTCCAAAAGTGGCCCAGCCTCCTCCCAGAGCTGCTTTTAGCTCGGCTAAACCCACGTGCAAATTGAAGCTGTCTGAGACCCCATCCTGCTCCCCTCTCCTGCCTGGCTGGGATGCCCCAAATCCCAGGCAAAGCAGATGGAACAACCTGCCTCCCAGCCTCCCTGAGCAGGGGCTGGGGCAGGACGCTGGGATTTTGGTTCCTCCTCTAAAGATTTAGTAGGAAAGGAGTTAAGCCAAGGGTGAGAGGAAAAGCACTGAGCCCTGGCTGAACTTCTAGGGAATGGTGCTGTGCTGTGCTGTGCTGGCTGTGCTGTGCCCCAGCTGCCTGCCCTGCCCTGGAGCTTCCTGGTTTCCCTGCCTGCACTTCCCTGCCTGCATTCCTCCTACCTCCATTTCTCCTAACCAGCATTTCCCTACCTGCACTTCCTTGCCTGCCTTTCTCTTAACTGCATTTCCTGCCTGCATTTCCCTACCCGAGTTTTCCCTGCCTGTATTTCCCATGCCTGTATTACCCTGGCAGCATTTTCTCCCCTGCATTTTCCTGCCTGCATTTCTCCTCCTCGTATTTCCCCTGCCTGCATTTTTCCTGCTTGAATTTCCCTGCCTGCGTTTCTCTGCCTTTATTTTTTCCTGCCTGGACTTCCCCTGTTTGCATTTTCCCTGCCTGTATTTCCCTCCCCGCGTTTTCCCTGCCTGCTTTTCCCCGGCAGCCGCGGGGAGGAGGCGTGGGCTCCCCGCGATGGCATCAGGGTGGCTGCGGTTCCAGCCTCCGCAGGAATACAAACCCATCAATTAGGAAATAACTGCCTCGCCTGTCCTTGTTAATCCCCTCCTCTCCGGGCTGTTATTTATTATTTACGTTGAAGGTGCCCCGGGATGCGCTGTCGGAGGGGAGCCTGACAGGCTCAATCTGTACCGTGCAATTACCTCCTCCTCCTCCTCCTCGCCAGCTGGGGAAGCCCTTTCTCCACTCCCACCATCCCGCTCTTTTCCATATCCCTCACAGGAGCAGATCCAAGCTGTACCAGACCTCCCTGCCCTACCGCTGACCCCCGTGGAATCCCTGGGACACCCCCCTGACCCCATCCTGAGGGTGTCCCCCCCACGTACAGCAGACCCGGGGGCACACCAGCCCCTTGGGGCGCATGCAGCTCACCCACCCTCCTCCCTTTGCCCCCCATCCCGGGCAGGGCGCTTTGCCAGGGGCACAGCAGCATCCCGGAGGACGCTGCCCCTCCGATCCCCCCCCTCTCCTGCCCTCGGGAGCCAGCCTGGAGGGGGGTCCGGGCGAGCTGCTGCAGAGGCATTAGCTGAGCCGGGATTAACATTCACCGGTGAAAAAATAACTCCATCCAAGCTGCGTCTGTTCCGGGGGCCTCGTGTGCGGCACGAATGGAAGCGCAGGATCCCCTGGGAGCCCCGGGATGCGTGTGCTGCAGCCGCGTCAGCGCTTTGCAAGGGCTGCTAATGTCTCGGCTAACAAGCTCCCAACTGAATGTGTCCTACACACACCTGAGGATGGAGCCGGCTGCCTGCGCCTCCTCCCTGCTCTTCTCCCAGCTGCTCTCCTCATCCGCCCTCCCGGCAGCGCCGGCACCTCGGCCGGACACCCCTTGTGAGGAGCAGTGCCGGCTGTGGGGTCTGTGTGGGCATCACTCAGGGACACGCTGGAGCTCCGAGGCTGGGCAGCGTCCCAGGGCACTGCGCTGGCACTCGGGGGCGTGTGGTGACCTGCTTAGTGGTCACGGGATTTGCAGGTTGGTATCTTATAGGGTCATGTAGGGTTTGGGGCTGCAGAGTCCATACAGGTGCTTGGAGTACCCCAGGGAGCCACGATGGGGCTTTGGGGTTCATTGCTGAGCTGCGTGATGAATCCCACAATCCCCCGAGGATCCCGCAGTGTGTGCCCTCCATTCCGGGATGCCAGGACAGCGCAGGTGGCACACGCAGGGATGCCCACCTGTACCTGCAAGCAGGTGGGTATCCCCAGAGCACAGAGGGTCCAGCCCATCCCTGTGCCTCCCACAGGTGCTGTGTGGGATCAGCTGGATGCTCTGCACATGTGCAGGTGTGTCTTCCCAACACATAACACGTGTGCAGGTGTCTTTCCTTTGGGAGTCGCCCTTGGGAGCTGCTGGCATCCCACAGCTGGGCAAATCCTGGGGGTACCAGAAGCTCTGATCCTCAGAGGAGCTGTGTGGTGTCTGTTGGGGATGTGTAAGGGGGTCTGGCACATTATTTACCTCCTGCTCACCGGCCTTTTTGCGTTTCCAGCAGTGGCTGTCCAGGAAAATGCGGTGCCCTGGAGCGCAGGTCATCTGTGTGGGCAAAGGCTGCAGCTCCAGCTGCAGTGGGCACTGTAATAACAGCCTGAGGATAAGAGGGATAAAGATAGCCCCCGGTGCTGCCTCCCACTCTCCAGTCTGTGGGGAAGCGGCGCCTCGCCCCCCCCCAGCCCAGGTGGTTATTTTTAGGCTGTCACCTCCTTGCTTCCCTCGTGGGTGGCTTTCATAAATAGCCAGGGCCTCAGAGCGGCTCCAGTGCCAGGCAGGAGCTGTGCCTGGCATATCTGGGAAAGACCCTGCTCACCCCACCTGCTCCATTGCCATCAGCCTCCTCTTCCTCAGGGCATGGGCAGCAGGGACAGAGACAGATCCCACTGCCACCCCTCCCTGCCAGCCCCTGGGGCTCGGGCACAGCTCCCTCCCCAGCCTCTGCTCACCTGGGTGCTCCAGACACCATCCCTCCACCTGGAGCACCCCATCCTCTGGCTCCTGCTCCAACACCTTCCCCAGCCCTGATCCCCGTCCCCCTCAACACTATCCCCGTGTGCTCCAGCTCCTCACAGGGTTGCAGCCAGTGCTCTCCTGCAGCTCTGCCCCGTCCCCATGGCCTGCAGCATCCTTAGGACCCCCTGATCTCCCTCACCCTCTTCTCCCACGTATTTTAGCGGCCAGACCTCCCCACGTGCCCCTTCCCTGCCCGGCAGGGCTGTTCCCGGGGCCGGCTCTCGGTGGCCGCGAGCGCTGCAGAGTGGCGGCCGCAGCGCCGTAATTAGCCAGGTACAGCAGGAACACACTTGCAGCCTGACAGCTCTTCTGGAGTCGAATGGGAGCCAATTAATCTAATTAAAGCGGCCGCTGGCTCGTTATCCCTGCACAGTTCACGGGGCTACACAGGCACCCCGTCCTTGCCGTGCCCCTGCCCAGGAGCTGCTCGGGTGGGCACGGGCAGGACGGGCAGGACTCGCTCCATCCGCGGGTCCCGGGTACCCAGGGCACAGCCCTGGGGGGAACAAGGGGGGATAAAAGGTGGGCGGGGTGACTGTGCCCTGTTCACGGGACAGCCGGAGGTGCCGGCAGGCGGGGGGGGGATGGTGGTACCCGTGGGAGCAGGATGCGAGGCGATGCCCCCCGAGGATGCCGCGGGTCTGTATGGCACGGGGCCGCGGTGCCAGCCGTGCCAGCCGTGCCGGCAGCCCCGGGGCCTGGCGCCGCGCCACGTCCCGGCGAGGATGAGCAGGTCCTGCCGGGCGCCTCGGCAGCATCCTGCAAGCTAATTACGAGGCAGGCCGAGGAGGAGGTCTGTCTGCACAGGTGTCTGTCAGCAGGGCGCTGGCACTCACGCCGCCTAATTAGACACCCTGCCAGCCCTTAATGAGAACAAATGAGAGGCCAGCCAGTGCGGGGCTGGGCCGCGCCCCCCGGACCCTGTCCCACGTGCCGGCTCTGGCCCGGTGCCCTCCGAGATCTTGTGGCTGGCTGTCACTGGGACACGTGGGGGTGGCTGCAGCAGCTCGACCCCCAGTGCCAGGGAGCCCTGTCCCAGCCCCAGTCCCACCGTGTCCCCCTGCAGCAGCCTGTGTCCTGCAGGGCACTGGGTACCACCCCACATGCACCCTTCTGGCAGCCCCATTCCCATCCCCTTGCTCCTTCTCCGAGTCCTTTTGGGAGCCGGGTCTTGATGCTCCATCTAAAGCAAGGTCCTGCCCTGCCCTGTCATCCCCCCAGTGGCCCATCCCATTGCAGGCAGGACCATGATTCCAAGTGGATCTCTTGATTTTCCAGTTATCGTCTCACCAGCTCGACAGCTGCCAGTGCCCCTGGGGCATCCTATGGCATGTGGATTGCCACCTCCATGCCCTTGCCCTGGCAGCACCCATCCAGCTCCACCACGGGACCCAAAAGCACTTGTTCTCCTCAGGATTCCTGCTGTGGCTTTTCCATGTCTCCCTGTAATCTGAAGGGAAACAGAGCAGGGTCCTTGGCTGAGCAGATCCCTGGGCACAGGCAGGCTCCTCGTTGGAGCAGGAAGCCAGATGGACATGGTCCTTAGGACAAAGTGGGAGCACCAGGTGTGCTCCAAAAATCTCAGTGAGGCCTGAGGAGGGGCTGCAGGAGAAGACCACAGGATACATTCCTCCAGAGAGGGATGTTTAACCCCCCCAGTCAAGCCTGGAGGCTGCAACAGGGCTGAGCAAGCTGGAAACGCGGTGTGGAAAGACAGGATGATGGATGAGGATGGGACTGCTGGGAGAAAGCACTGGAGCCATCCCAGCCCTGGTTATGAACTCCCTCTGCAAGTCAATTCCTGGAAGTGTCCAAGGCCAGGCTGGAGGGGGCTTGGGGCAACCTGGTCTAGTGGAAGGTGCCCCTGCCCACGGCAGGAGGTGGTAGGAGATGAGCTTTGAGGTTCTATGACTTGCACTCCAGTAGGCACCGGGGCATCGCAGCCCGTGTGTGCCCAGGCTGGGAAGTGGGAAGGGAGCCCAGGAGGGGTGGGAGCCCCACACAGCACGTGGGCTCTGCAGCAGCCCTATAAATAACCACACCCACACACCGGGATGCACACACTGGGGGGGGGAGTGGTTCGTGCTGCTCTGGCAGGCAGGGGGGAGACATGGGATGACACCAAGCACAGGGAGATGCTGTGCAGGGATTAGGAAAAGTCACCTGCCCAAGGAGCAATGAGGAGGAGGAAGGCAGCTCCCTGGGGAGCCACGAGTGCTGTTGGCTCTGTGGGGCACAGGCAGAGTTGTGGTGGCACTGGAACCCCCCCCGGCAGGAGGGTGTCTGAGGCAACACCCCTGTCTGGAGGGGACAGTGTGGCCCTAGGAGACATGTACGGAGCACACACGTGCTCTCCACCCCATGTGAGTGCACACACACATCTCCAGCCCTGCCTGCCAACCCCCCTGCACCCTGTGTTCACCCCACGCCCCTTTGTGTCCCCCTGGGCACTCACACCTCTATTCCACCGTGCCTCCATCCCTCGTGCCACCTCTTAGCCCTTGTGCACCTCTGTGTGAGCCCCTCTCCCTCCTCCCCGTGTGCACGTCCACGTGGAAAATCACCCCCACGGAAAATGACCCCCACGGAAAATCACCCCCACAGCGCCCTAGGCTGGCAGCCCACGTCCCTGAGGTCCCTGGGGTCCTGCCTCCCGAGGGCTGGACACGGCTGATGCCACCCCAGCTCTGCCAGCCCGGCCCATCCCTGCAGGCTGCCGTCACTCGGCGGCTCGGGAAGGTTTAAGGGAAGGGCGGGGCCGGTCCGTGCCCAAGGCCAAGGCCAGGCCCCCGCGCCATGGGGGTGGTGGGATTTGCCGGAGTGCCGGGCACTTTCCCTGCGGCTTAGCTCCGGCCTCTCATTTTCACGGCAGGGGGATGAGTGGTTGATGGGCAGGTTGGTATCGCTGCCTCAGCCCCTCTCTGCTCCACCAGCAACGCTCACCGGCCTCCCAGCTCTCCCAGCTCACCCACAGGAGGAAGTGGACATGGAGCAAGGGCTTTGCTGTGGATTTCCAAGCCTTTTGAGTGGGCACAGGCCACCAGCAGTCCCGGCTCCATCCATCAGACACAGCCCTGCTGCTCCCATGGCACTGCCAGGCTGTGCCATGGCTGTGCCATGGCTGTGCCGGGCATCCTGTGGCACTGGCTGCGCTGGGAACGGGTGGAGGCAGTTGGGCACTGGGATGCTGCAGCCAGGTGGATCCCCACCAGCTGGACACCAACCAGGTGCCAGGGAGCCAGGAGAGCTGGGCAGAGGCGTGGGGTAGGCAGCCTCAGCACCCCATCAGCCCTTTTCCAGGGAAGCTGGGCCCTGGCCTGCAGGGATGATGGAGCAGATGATGCTCCTGGTCTGAGGCGAAAGGCAAAGAAGAGTTGCCATGGAGACCAACTATGTCATTTTAAGGAGGCACCGAGGCATTCGCACCCATCCCTCCCGGATGAAGCCCTGCAGCGGGAGGTGAGGGCAGCGGGGGGCAGGGGGGGGTGACCAGCACCCCCTCAAGTCCCAGGTGTGTCGGCTGGTCCCCCGTGGTGCCACCTCACGTGGGACCCGGCAGCAAGGCTGCAGGCAGGGCTGCCTGCCCAGGGCGTGCCCCGGGGCTGGCCTCCCTCAGGGACAGCTGGGAGCAACTGGTGGCACGGGGGCAGAGTGATGCTCTGCCAGCCTGGCCTGGGCAAGGGATGGGGAACAGCCTGCAAGGACCAGAGGTGCCCCCCACAATTTTTCTGGGGTGGCCCCTTGTGCTGGGGAGGGGTGCTGACCAAGGAGCTGGGGTGAGGTTCAAGGTGAAGGCAGTAGTATCCTGGATTTTTTGATAATTTCAATTTTAATTAAAATGAAGCTTTCTGTATTAGCAGCCCTCCCTTTTCCTGTGACCCGCAGAAGTGCTGCTGTTCAGCCTCCCGGTGCCTGTGAGTAGCTGCTGGAATCCCCTCCGCATTCTCATGGCCCCACCGGAGGGAGGAATTATCCAGGGTGGGGTTAGATGTAGTAGCACTTCCAACTGGATAAACCAACCTCAAACACAGAGGCAAAGAGGGGCTGCAAGATGAACCCCCACACACACACTGCCCTTGCCCAGGAGGGGATTTGGGTGTGCTCTGGTCCCAGCGGGCAGCCCCAGGGCCAGGGCTCGCTGCTCCCGGGGTGTTTGCTGTCCCTCCTCATGGCCAGCCATCCCCTGGTCCTTTGGGGGTCCCCCCCCAGCCCGAGGCTGAGCAGCTCTGTGATGCTGCCAGCTCTCCCCGGGGCTGTCGCGCTGCTGGCGCTGTCACAATCCCGATGGGGCTGGAAGGAAACCGGCAGAGCTGCACCGGTAAGTGGATGCCTGGGAGGATTCCGGGTCCAAGGGTCACCCTGGGGGCCAGGGGGCTTCAGCCATGGTGGGGACACAGCGCAGGAGGCGGCCAAGCCTGGGACCTGCAAACAGAACCGATGCCTCGGTGGGCTGCGGGGAGGGCGGGTGGCTGGCACAGCGCAGAGGGAGGTGCTGGCACTGTCGCGGTGCCAGGGTCGTGCAGACAGGGATTGGGGACACGCTGCCATGGATGCTGGCCCAGAGCAAGGGGACACGGACCTTGAGCTGTGAGTTGCACACGGTGTGAGGGGGGTGTGTGCGGCACAGGGAGGTGTGAGCCGTGCAGGGCTTTACACCACACCACGTGTGTGGTTGCCCGGACTCGGCGAGAGAAGCACAGGCTGCAGTGGAAAGGGATGGCACAGAGCAAGATTCAAGCGTGGGCAGCCCAGGGATCCCTGGCTGGATCCAAATGAGCTCCCAAAACCTCCGTGAGCTCTTCCCCCTCGGCAGTGGCAGCACCCAGCTGCCAGAGCCAGAGCCTGGCACGCGCCCGCAGCCGCCCAGCCGGGTGGGAGCATCTCCTCCTGCCATGCCTGCCAAGACTCCCACTCCCAAGACTGTACGACAGGAGAAAAGGGAACAGAAATTCACGTTTTCACATTTAGCTTCCTTTGTACTCAGCTAATTAGCGCCTGAGTCTGGTGATGTCATTAAAGCAGCGCTAAGTCTTTATTGGGGTAATTTAATTTTCCCTTTCATATCAGGATGATTTCCTTTGTTGGGGTAGGTGCTGGGGAGGGGGAAGGGCCCGTGCAGACAATTGCTATTGTCAGGATAAATAATTCCCTAGTGGATTGACAAGGGGGGAGGTGGCTGGGGGGCTGGGAGCTGTCACTCACCCGGGTGGCAGCAGGAGCTGGCCAGACCCCGGGAAGTGCGTGCCTTGGGTGCCTCTCCCTGTGCTGGGTGGGCTTCCCAGCCAGCAAGGCACCTGCCTTGGCCCCTTTCCAACCATGGAAACTGCAGCTGCCTTGACATTCAGGAGGTGGGTGGGTAAAGCCGGGGGTCTCCCTTGTAGCTCCCACCCTTCTCCTGCCCCAACACCATCCCTGGTGCCAGCGGGAGCAGGGAAGTGGATTGCACTGGGATAAAGGGGCATTCCCAAGCCCCCAGAGCGCTGGAGAGCCACTGGACATGAAGGGGAACAGGGAGCTGCCGGGGCTGGCATAGACCAGGAGGAGCCCTCACAGGGGTCTCCCAAATTCAGGGAGTCCCACGTGTCATCCCTGCACTGGGAATGGCTGGCACTGGGCCAGGCAGATATCCCCCCTCTCCAGCTCCTCTCCAAGCTCTGAATGCGATGTGGTGACGCTCGAGCACTTGCTGCCACATCAGACTGGGCACAAGGAGGGGCCTGGGTTTGCACTGGGGTGTGGGACAGCGTGTGAAACCCAGTGTGTGGGGTCACAGAGGGGCAGGAGCTGCTCAGCATTGCACCTTCCTGGGACACCCTCTGAAACAAGGCTCCAGCCCCCTTCCCAACCTTGCCATCCCCTCCCCGCTGCCTCCCCTCAGCCCCTTGGCTCATGCTGCCCCAGGAGGGGTCCCAGACAAGGGGGAGAGGTGAAGGAGACGTCCCATGGGGTCAGAGCCCCGAGGACTGACTCTCTTGGTCCCCACAGTGTATCACTGCAGCAGGTCCCCATCTCACCCCTGCCCCACCAGCCCTCTCGAGCACGGGAGAAAAAGGTGGGATGTCCCCAGGAAGCAGCTGGAGATGAGAGCAGTTGACATGTGGCACCACTCAGGTCACAGTGTCCTGGGAGCCTGGGCATGGCCCATGGTAAGGCTCCAAAGGGGAGATGTGTGGGACAGGCTGATCCTGGGGCACAGCTGGTGGCAGGGGTGTCCTGGTCCAGCAGAGCACCACCAGGATGGGGGGAGTGGCAGGGGTGATCCCAAAAGCTTTAACTCATCATGTTTAACTCTGTGGACATCTTCCAGAGGAATTGTCCTTCACGGAAAATGGGAAGGGAGAAGAGAGTAACCGGAGGAGTCCTTTTTTACCCACCCCCGTGTCCATCTCCAGAAGGGACTGGGTCTTTATGACCCTTCTGGAGCCCACCCTGCAACTCCCACCTTCCCCAAAGCCCCCCAGGCGCTGCTGCCGGCTCGGGTGCGGGCCAGGAGCAGGGGGAGCGGGGCTGCAGAGGGGAACGTCACACCCGAAACACAAACACGGCTCGTTGGTAATTAGCAAACGTTTCAAGAGGGATGATGAGACGGCGGTGACAGGCGGGCGGGTTTCTATTAAAAGCTGCCACGTGTGATCCTTCTCCAAGCCTGCCGGCCCCTCCTTACCTGGCGCTGGGGAAATGAGATGCAAACCTGACATTAATGCGGCGTTCAGGGTGAGCTTTAATTGCAGCCGGAGCGGCGGAGCCGGGGGACGGCGGCGGGGTGAGGGCACCCTCGAGGGGACGTTCCCGGTGCCTTTGGGTGCTCTCCCCCCGCCACCCCCCTCCCCGACCTTCCCGCGGGAAGGGCGGGAGTCACGAGGAGCTCTGAAGTGAGCACTCGGCACCCCGCGTGTCTCCACCAGCAGAGGCACTTGCTTAAATGTTAAGGGCTTGTTTGCATCCAGCGGAAGGGAAGTGGGAGAGCTGAGCCCCGGCTTGCCAATTGCTCCTCCGTACCTTCCGGAGACAGGGAAGTGCTCATCCACACAGGGAAGCATCCTCGAGCGATTCCTCAGTCCCCAAAATGTCTCTTTTCAGCCTCACGTGGTGGGTTTTTTCCCGGTTGAAAGACTCTCCAGAGCATCCCAGGCATTAGAGAAGGAGCATCCGTGGCCAGGGCAGCGTTTGCGAGGTGGCCCCAGGGCTGATGCACAGGGGTGGGGTGGGTCCATGTCTTGGACATACAAATCAAGCCCAGGAGGAGCCAGGACACGTGGCACTGGAGCGGGAGGAGCTCAGGCCAGCAGCATCCAGGCAGAGATATGGTGGCCTTGCGTTGGGAAGGTGGAGATTGCCACGGAGCAGGGGCTGAGCGTGGGTCTGCTCAGCAATGCAGCAAGTGATGGGAGCCAGGGGAGTAACCTAGTTCTGGCTTTGTGAGATTGGCTTCTCCAATCTCCACTCTGTGAGAGGAAAGTGAGTCATTACTGCCTGATTTGGCAGAAAGGCAAAGGAGACAATGAGCCAGAGGGGCCAAGGCCACCAGGGGTGGGACCGTTGTTCTGTGGGCTGCAGAGCAGCTCCTGCCCCTGCTCAGGGTGTGAATGGTGGTATCCACGTCCCTCACCATCACCTCAAGGTGAGGGCTCCCCTTGCCTCACGATTTCTGCTGCATCACCACCATCACACCTCACTCCCAACCAACCAACGCAACTTCCTCACGAGGGGCTGTGCAGGGGCAGCTCCATCTCTGCTCTCTGTGACCAGTGACAGGACCTGGGGGAATGGCTGGAGCTGCATCAGGAAAGGGTCAGGTTGGATCTCAGGCAAAGGTTCTTCCCCCAGAGGCTGGTTGGGCACTGACCAGGCTCCCCAGGCTAGTGGGCACAGCCCCAAGGCTGCCAGAGCTCCAGGAGTGTGTGGACAATGCTCTGTGGGACAGGGTGGGATTGTTGGGGGGTCTGTGCAGGGCCAGGAGTTGGACTCAGTGACCCTCGGGGTCCCTTCCAACTCAGGATATCCTCTGATTCCCTGATAGCTCTACCCAAGCAGTAACCAGCGTGGAGCTGGTGTCAGCCCACGAGCAGGAGCAGGGATGAACACTGCACTCATCTGCCTCTCAGCAGGGGCCTCTTGCCAGTGATTTGCTGAGCGACAGCAAAGTTTTGCTTTTAACGAGGGCTGCTTATGCTGAGCAGGTTTGGCCTGGCCTCCTGCTGCCCTGGGCTTGCTGGGGGAGGTAGAACTCTCTCAGCTGAGCTCCAGACCTTCCAGGAGTGATGTGGGCTATGCTTAGAGCATCCTTGGGGCGTTTATGCAGTGGTTCTGCCTCGATCTAGCACTTGGAACAGAGCTGCCCTAAAAAAGAGCTTGCCCCCCACCCCCGTCCCTTCCAGAAAGTGCCCTCAGCCCTGGCTGTGCAGCCTTGGTCCTCACTGAGCTGAGACTTCCTGGGAAGCAGCTCAGGTGAAGGCACTGTGAGCTGTGAGGGCTCTTCCTGCTCCAGCTCTATTCGGAGCAGCAGGATCCTTACAGGGGAGATATTGAGGAGAAATGTCCAAGGACATTGGTGACACCTTCTTTACTCAGAGGGTGGTGGGACCCTGGCACAGGTTGCCCAGAGAAGCTGTGGCTGCCCCTGGATCCCTGGAAGTGTCCAAGGCCAGGTTGGACGGGGCTTGGAGCAACCTGGGCTAGTGGAAGGTGTCCCTGCCCATGGCAGGAGGTGGAATGAGATGAGCTTTAAAGTCCTTTCCGTTCCAAACCATTCTCTGCCCCTGCAATTCTATGGCTGTCAGAAGGCAATATCAACTCTCCTTGTGTCAGTCTCTGCCAGCTGGATCTGCCCTGGACCTTTCTGGTGGTCTTCCACTGTTGACAGGGTGCTCCAGTGTCCCTCATAGGGGGTGACACCCCCTTTCCTCATGTGCAGCTCCTGCCTGCCAACCCTTTGGATGCCCTCACACCCTCCATCCTCCAGCTGTCCACGTTGCCTTCACCACCGTCCTGAGCTTCGAGGGCTCATTTGTTTCATCATGTGGCACATGAGGAGGGGGTCCTGTGCCACAGGTCTGACCAGGCTGCCTTGTCCCCACTTCCCTGTCCCCATGCCACTTGGCAGCACCGCGTGGGTTTGTGCCCTGCACATCACGCCTGGTTGGGGTGATTTGTGTCAGTCAGTGTTTAAGGGCTGTTCTTCTGACTACAAAGGTACAGGCAGCTGCCACACTTCTCTGCTCCTTAATGTATTGTGTGGCTTGTCTGTCATCCCTCCAGGGTGAGAAACCGTCTGCCCAGGCAGCATTTCTGAACCCTCCTCCTGCCCGGGGTCACTGTTCCCATCCAACAAGTTTGTGAGCTGCACTGGTGCTCCTGGTGTTATTTCTGCAGGATGAAACCCTCCTGCTTGTTTTTCCATCTTCACCTTCCACTCTGCCCTGTTTTGTCAGCAAGATTTAGCCCTGGCCACGTGCAGGGGTCCCCCTGCTCCTGGGCCACCCCATCACTGCAAGCCCACTCAGCGCTGGTGCTGCAGCATGGGAATGTGCCATGGGAGCTGGGCCAGCAATCCCAGAGTGTCCAGGAGGGTTGTCCCAGCCCAGGAGATGCTGGGGTGAGTGACACTGGTGGCGTGGAGGTGACTGGGGAGAGGCTGAGCTGGTGGTGATGCTGCTGGAAGAGGCAGAGGGAACAAAGAGGGGATACAAAGGGGTCCTGCCATGGATAACGGGGTGAGGGAGATTGGGAGGGGTTCCCAGTGGGGAGCTGGGGGGAGATGGAACATTCCCAGGCCGGTGGTGCTCCCCCCACCACAGCTCACTGCAGAGGGGCCCTCGAGTGCCTGCAAACGAGGAAAGGCGGGGAAGGAGGGGGGGGAGAGATCTTTTCATCTAAAAGGTTACATTTGTCCTACTTCCTCCCATCTCCAGCAATTAACTTGAAGGGAGACATCACTGCTAATTGAGCAGTGAAGATCAGGAGCAACAATTACGCCTTTTGACAAGAGACAGCACAAGAGGGACTGCTCGGAGGCTGAGAATGGTAGGGAACGGTTTCTATGGCAATATAACTTTCCTCTCTTCCTCTCCAGCCATAGAAATGATAAAAATGTAGATTTCTCCCTGATTAATGATTTAATGAAAATAAAGAAAATTCTTTTTTTTTAAAAAAAAAAAAAGAAGAAAAAAAGGAAAAAAAAAAGAAAAAGGCAAAAAAGGGGAAAGGGAGGGGAAAGAAAAAAATCGATAGGACGCAA